TATGTGTGTGTGTGTGTGTGTGTATATACTATATATATATGTGTTGTATATATATATATATATATATATATATATATATATATATGTGTGTGTGTGTGGTTCAAGCTAACCACTCACAGCCTATTACAAATGACTTCACCGTTCGTTGCGCACTACCAACTGCACAAAAGCGTTAAAAAATAATATCAGTGAAACCCAGTGCGTCTCACACTGTGATCGACAGAATGATGCGACCGCGTTAACAGAAGTTGACCACCAGCGTGCGCTGTATGCAAGTCACCCTTAACGGGAATACAATGCAGCATATGAGAACCAGGGCTCTACCCAATCCAGATGAAAAGTCACTACGTTTTGCGTAATTATTTTTATTTAGCTAAATTGGTATGTGGTTCTCATGGGCACAAATCCTCGTTTGTTCGAATGCCAAATTTAAGGACAAAATGCCCTAGATTCGTGGCGACATTTCGATCTGGCCGTCTTACGACGATCTGTATTATTGATTTAACCGCTGTGTGGTGGTTCCTCGCATATATCAACCATCTGCGCGAAGGTCATCTCATATATATATATATGTATATATATACATATACATATACATATACATATACATACACACATACACACACACATATATATATATATATATATTAACAGTGAACCAATGCGGTCATCCAAGGTAGACAGTACCTACCGACTCAGAACACAGCGGCGATCAGGTTGGCCAGGGTATACAGTGTTGGCATACTGCACCTCGCAGTTATTCTTTCTCAGACCACAGCTCCTCCTGGCGCTGCCCTAAATTAAATACCGGGGCTATGGCCAAGGCTATATACTGGATACGGTGTTGGCTGAGAGATGTGCTCTACACCAATCAAAACCCACGGCACCACAACCAGGCTTTCCCCGCTGCCCAATGGATGGTGGTGTCTGACTAATTGATCCGATACTCAGGCTCCGTGATACGGACGCTGCTCACCGGGTCGCTGTGGGCGTATCCATGCTAACATCACTCGTTATTTTATGCAGCGCTTATGGTGGCTGTACGATGATACGACACTGAAAGATACCTAACCCATTCCGAAGTACTTCTATAGGACCACCAACTGATTTCGAACATTCCAATTCGTCTGCCGATTCGCCTGTAAGGTGTGACCTGGCTCACGCACATAGGACGGGTCTGGGAGGTATGTCCGAAAGTTCACCCCCGGTCCAAACTCACACCTATCATTGGTCACTTGATTGGTATATTTGTGGGGGGTTTATATAGCCGTTGCACAGCTGACTACTACTGAGGTAGGGATACACTATAGAAGGCATTAGGACAACTTTCGACCTAGAATCACTGAACCTGGTACTGGACTGCACTGGACACCTCGTGCTGGAAGAGCGTACCCTACAAGTGATCGTAATCAGTGTGTCACTTAGCAGTGACCTCCGACAACTTCACAGAAGCCAAGTCCGTAACCATGGATACGACCGTATCCTCAGGTACACTCTCGTCATCCTCTAATTGCTTCCATATCTTACTAACCGGACCAAAGCCCTGATCCTTTCTAACTATACTGACCGGTTCGTGCCCCTGCTCCACCTTCCTACCAGACTGTTCATAGGCCCGGGTGCCTGTACTATCGCCCTGGACTACTCGATTGCCCACCCCATTCACTTGCTGGCGTCCGTAACTTCTAGATACGTCCTCTGCTATTGCCCAGCATCCTTAATCCGATATTCTCCTTGATCTACTATCCCACTAGCCTGAATCTCCCCGCGATCATGTACAGGACCACTCTCGACTACCGCTGCACCATCTAAATGATCACCCTGGTTCGATGATGATCACACTGATCCGTTGGTCCAACATTCAGGTCATCTATCTGATCCTCTTCATTGTGGTCTCCATCTTGGTCTTCAACTCTACTCTCATACATACTAGCCCACAACGCCTCCTGCTCCAAGAACGCCTTGGCCTTAGCCTCTTTAGCCTCGCGTTTCTCCTGCAACAACTGTTGTTCACGCTGTGCTTCACTCAGCTTGCCCGCATCCGCGCGCTTAGCTAGATGTGTACGCACGCCAGCCTTTCTCTTCTCGTCCTTGTACGTTCGAGCCCAGGCTGTAGAGCGGCCAGCACGATCCGCATTGCCGTTCTTACCCATGGAGCCTATTAACTATTACTTGTCGGTATTAAGATAGGTCCCAGCAGAACAATAGTACTCATATACCACAAAGTATCAACTATGCTTGAACTGAAGTACAATACATAATTATCTGATATTATTACATCAGAGAAATCCCGTGGTGTAATTGTTGTCTTTTAGCCTTTTCGATTAATTCTCATGTGACGGAATAAGCAAGCGTTCGCAAAGTTGTCATGAGTGTGCCACACTGCGGAACCAATGCTGAGTGTGAGTCATAGGCATGTTGAATTATCGATATTTGAATTTTTTTTCATTTTCAGTGCATGTTTGTTATTTGTAAACTACTATTTTATATTTTATTTTAGAACTTTGTTTTTTATTATTAATATAGTAAAAAAGTAGTACGCATAAATATATATATATATATATATATATATAACAGCTTCTTTTTTTAATATCGTATTTATATATAAAAACCAATACATACATATGATTTCGTATCTAAATAGGACTATTGTATTTTTTAATTTACACGTTGTTATTTATATTTTTAGTAATAAATTATGATCCAACGATTTCCTCCGTGTGTCATCGCATGCCTTTTCGGAGTAGAGCTGTCAGTAAGGCACTTCAAAAATGTGCCGAACGTATGGGTTGAGTTCGCATACTCCATCGTATTGTACCGAGAAGTGATGGGCTGCTACACTAGTATTATGGTAAAAGGCTACCATGATGTACGTACATTCGTTCTGAATATATAAAATCGATATAATAGGGTGTATCTATGTAGATGACAATTCAGTACATACTTTCACTCGTAAACAAAACACACTCCTCTGTCAGGTAAACTCCTAACTTCCTCAAAAAACATGGCTCAATTAATTCAACGCGTGGCCCAATACCTGGCCAACGAAGTGATCACAAAATCGGTAAGCCTTTACATGATTATGTAGCGTGTACACAGAGTTTGATAGGGGTGTTCTGCTCTGTTCACGGGTTATGTCGTATGTTTCACATGTTCTTTCTCAGTCGTGCGTACTGCTGTTTGCTGGTATGCAAAGTTCAGATCACGAATTCGGACTTGTTTACTTTGGATGGATGTTCGGCGCGTTCGCAAAGGTTGTTATAGTTGTTATGCTCAACGTATGTTTCGTACCGTAGGTGTTGTGTTTATAACCTCCCACTCGGGTACACTCGCATGTATATACATTCTCCTCTATTGGCAGAGGACCAGCTCGTGTTGCTGTTTTTATCGTTATTTCTGATCCTTACATACTATTCCTAGTATCTTGGTTCGGAGCTATATGGCCTTGCACACCAATGCACCCATGCCCATGTGCTGTGTGTGTAGTGTCTTTGCACGTACAGTCAGTTGATGGTTTGGAAACTAGAATACCTTGAGATTGGGAACGTGTTGCTGTTTTCGTGTTATAATATATGCCCTGAAGACGAGTTCTACGTATTTTTAGCACGGACGTGTACGGTGGATACCCCTGTATCTTGTCTTGTGGCTGTATCTTGTCTTGTGGTTGCATTACATATCACGAGTGCTTGTTTTGCTTTTTCGCTGCATTTGTACCCGCCTGTTCTGAATACTTATATGTATATGTATACATTTTATATATATATATAAGCGTTCTGTGTTGTACTGTTTTTGCAATTGAAATTAGGCAGGTTAAAGTCTCTCCGCTGTCCATATACACGATGCTAACAGGTCAATTCCACTTATATCATTCACTAGAGATTTATACTTGGTTATTGGTTGGTGCTTCCATGGTATTCGTGGCCCAGTTACCTGCTCTGGACGTTCTATCGTCTGCATTTATAATCCTAGCATAACGATCTGATCATATCACATCCCGGGTCTATAAATGACTCGTGCTTACGTGGTGGTTGTACCCCACATCTCCTGCTGTACCTGTTTATCTCGTTGCCATGGTATCCATATTTGTACATGTTCTTATCTCTGCACATCCTTGTCACATGCCTGAGGTGGCGAGTGTCCGTTGCTGCTTGCGTACAGACATGTTTATACGTGTGTGCCGGTTGCTTGTTCTTTATATCCCGTGCTGGGCAGGCACACGTGTGTGGTCTTATTGCGTATACCTGAACTTGACCAGTATTATAGTTTTGGCGCGGGCTGCATGTTGATCCGTTATGTTTTGCAGCTTTGATGTTCGTATATTGCACGCACTTCACGTCAAACGCTATTTTACGTTGCTCACGGGTTGACTCGTTTTTAAGTCAGAGTACTTGGTCCGCCTAAGGAAGTTGTGTTCCAGTCAAGTGGTTCGGAAGTATATGTGTATATAGTCCCACAATCGTTACTGAGACTATTGTTTCCGTCTCTATGTTTGAGTTTGGTTCTTGGTGTCGAATATTCTCACGTATATATATGTATGTATGTATATGTACATATATATACATATATATACATACATACAAATACAAATATAGACTTGTTTCTCATACTCATCGTTCAATTCTGTGGTGTACAGCTCGCACGCAGCAAGATGTTCCAAAATTTTGCACAACGAACGCACGGCAATGTCGAGAAGTTCAGCGAGGCATCTAAGAAGCACACCGAATCAATAGATATGAATAAGGTACGTCAGTATTAGCATTGTCAATTATACTATTAGGGGACGTAGTATATTTATATATGTATATATAGTTTTGATTTGTGCACCTGCATGTACAATTTTGAGTATCGGCATCATGTCTTGGTTCCCAATCTCAAGTCATTTAGCTGCTGGTTTACGAACATACATGCACATATAGCATGTGTGATGCAGTAAGCATGTGTTGCGACCAATGCTTGCTATCGCCTGTCTTCGCTTGGTTGCATGCTGTGGCTCTCTCGGTCTACTCGTCTTGTGTTCTATAGCACGCTTTATATGTCAAAGTCTGTGCGTACTGGTATTTAAACGTAGTTCCCCTGGAGGGGTTACAGGCAATGCTGCCCACACGTGTAAGGGAGGCTGTGCCCGTCCTCGTGTGCACTCTTGTGTGCTATATTACATGGTTTGTGCTGTTGTATGTGTCCACATAGCTATCACATGGTTTGTGTTGTTGTCTGTATTCCCATAGCCGTCCCCGTCCATTTAGATGGCTATGCTTTCCACCCTTTAAAAGGCTATGGCATCCAGTAGTTCTCGCAGTGGTACGTGCAACAGTCCTTTAGTACAGAGACTGGGCTCTGCCTTTCAGTCCAGTGTATGTGACTTACCCGCATAAAGAAGGCTTCAGTTCAGTGTATGCGACATATTCACATAAAGAAGACTTACGTGTGGCCCCACGCTTCTTGTAGGCATGTCCGTTGCTGTGTTTTCTGGGTCTCACTTGTGTGTATTGCTATTGACCGGACCAGAGCTGCAGGTTTATATCAGTCTTACACTTAGCAACACCATAGCTACAGGTTTATATCACTCTTGCACGTAGCAACACCATATCTATAGTTCTCTATCACCGTTATAGTGTGTGCGTGTGTATGTGTGGTGTGTTTTGGTCATTGGCCTGTGGGTGGGTGGGTGTGTATGTATGGTGTGTTTTAGTCATTGGCCTGTGGGTGGGTGTGCGTGTGTGTATGAGTGGTGTGTTTTGGTCATTCATTGGCTCGTAGGTGTGCGTGTTGTCGATCGCTTTGTTTGTGCATACTATGATGCCGTGTGTGAGAATGGCAGTATTGCCGATGAGTTCTGATGTTGGTGGCGCGCATACAGTCACATGGAAGTACCCATTCCACTAACAATCCTTATCTTACGGTACCACATGTATCTACAGTTGTAGCTCGCTTCTCAACTGAACTATTTGTTAATGCTTCGGGCTCACTCTCACCCCAACCCTATCTTTGTATTACGATATCTCCGACAACTAAAAACCCTAAAACCCTCGCCAACCCCATGCATCGGCGTATGTCTGACACTCCCTCCATTGTCCCATATTAGGTGGCCGAGAATGCGGGAGTGACCATCGGCCGGTTTATGGGCAACGCAAGCACCTTCGCACAGACCATGAGCAAGAACGCGTCCAAGTCACTCGCCGACGCGCAGAAGGTGCTCGCAGACGCACAGAAGAACGCCCCCAAATGATCGGGTATATATATATATATATGGGCACACGGTGGGGGAGTGTAGTACGGGTGGGGTGAGATAGGGACAGAGACGAGAGAGACAGGCGTGGTCGTATACACACACACACCCACACACACCCGCAGTTGTATGTGCACCTGAGTCCTGTGTGGTCAGGACCGGGTGCATTAGCGTGCGTATGGGGTGGGTGCATGGGCCTAGCCTGTGTGTTTGCGCGTGTGGGGTGCAATGGAGAAGCCCTGGAGACGTATGAGACGTGGAAACTAGGCCGTGGGTAGAGATGCATGGGGTGTAGCTGTGCGTATAGATACATAGGTTGCAGCTGTGTGTATATAGATACATAGGTTGCAGCTGTGTGTATATAGATACATAGGTTGCAGCTGTGTGTATATAGATCATGGGCTGTAGCTGTGTGTATAGAGGTATTGGTTGTAGTATGTGGGGAGGCGATACAGCACGCAGGTAGCTGTAGCTGTAGCTGTTGCACCGGCGCGTGTACGAAGCTCGATGTACGCACCCAGTTACAGAGGGACATGCAATATCTTATGAAGACTACCCTGGACAGGCCCAAGTGAGGTGTTGTGTTTTCTCTAGAGGAGATGCCGACGATACCTGTGCATATCGGTCACACAGGCACACGTTATGTGTGTGTGTGTGAATGATGTGTATGTATGTTGCATGTTTGCTTCAAGTCGACCACCTCTTCGCACAGGCGTGTGTGCAGAGGGGTGGTGTCTGGGCATGCGCGTTGGGTTGTAGACGTCTCTGTCTAACGAGCTACGTATGCCGTTGCTTGCGCCAACGCGCTTGTTGGTACATATCCAAAACGTTATACGTACGTTTGTATGTGTTGTAGAAAAAATATAGTAGGTATGGAGGGGCTGCTGGTGAAGGTATCGTTATGAACTGGAGTGGCGGCGGTCTGTAGTGAGAGTCACGAAGGTAGTTATGTACCCAGCAGGGTGCTTATAATAATAAAGGTTAATATAAGAAGGTTTGTTGCCGGTCTTGTACCATACTTATTTTTACCTATATGCACTAGATCTCGATTTATATATATATCTATATAAATCGAGATTTTATATATATATATATATAAATAGTTTGGTATATATATATATATATATATGTGTGTACATATATATATAATATATACACGTATATATATGTACATATATATATGTATATATTGTTGATATATATAGCTCAGCTGCAACTCGTCTCCACTATGTCGTTTTAATATACATATTCCTTTTAATATATATATGCGTACTTTTTGTTTTTAATATACATATTCCTGTTAATATACATATGCGTACATATTTCTTTTAATATACATCTTCCTTTTAATATACATCTGTGTACATATTGCTATTGTAGCTCAGCTACAACTCGTCTCCGCTGTGTCTTCGCCTTCGCAGCGGATTCAATTCCGACGGGATCTTGGTATTGCAATTCCCGTGGGCCACATGGATATCGCCCGCGCAATCGTTGTAATACCCAAATATGGGTTCTTTATACCCCCCCACATCCCTCCACCAAGTGCACAGCTGTCTGTTCCACCCACACGGCAGTGTGTAAAACAGCTCAGCGTGTGGCACTGACAGTAGTGAGTACAGGTCTTGGTCGCCCAAGTGGCCCTTGAACTCGTACCTGTGACAGCATACGATGGGGATGGGGGGGTGTAGTGAGGTGGTGACGGGTGAGTGTATAGCTAGCTATAGGGGTAGGTAAGGGCGAGTATATAGCTATACAGTATGCGATGGGGATGGGGGGGTATAGAGAGGTTGTGGCGGGTGAGTGTATGGCTAGCTATAGGGGTAGGTAAGTGAGTGTATAGCTAGCTATAGGGGTAGGTAAGGGCGAGTATATAGCTATAGAGCAGGTCAAGGCTGTCTAAAACTAAATTGGTGTATAGATCTATATAAAACAAACCGAATACCCACATGCGCATACATGCACATGTACACATGGCATACATTCACACTTACGTACAGATACATACATGCACATGTACACATGGCATACGGTCACATTTGCGTACAGATACATACATGCACATGTACACATGGCATACGGTCACACTTACGTACAGATACATACATGCACATGTACACAAGGCATACGGTCACACTTACGTACAGACAGGCACACTGCCGCCATACTGTGGAAGACCTAAATCCTAAACCCTAAAACCCTAAAACTTCATAGTTCATACCGAACACCGTACTACCACAAAGCTATAGCACCCGCGTGAATGTAGGTGACAGTTGCACACACGGACAAGCCAACACCACAGACAACTACAGACAGGCACACCTACCTGGCTTATATATATAAGTACACTAATGTATTTGGGTGCCAGAATTTGTACAATTTCGTATTTTCCAGGATGTATGTAACACAACGGACGTTAGTTATAAACACCCTCACACATCCGTTGGCTGTCCCACACATACACACAGACACACCAACCAATACATATGAACTATATACACTCACACGTGCAGGTGTGTGTTATGCTCACGTACGCAGACTTGCTTACATGGTGGCGAGGGTCTTCATGAGTTCGTCTTCGAGTACGTGCTTCCACAGTGACAGCTTTCTGAGTCGGTCGAGTCGCATCAACATCACTCCGCTGTTGAATCCAGGGAACCCTCCCTCAGATACAGACATGCCTATATTTTGTGCCTATGAGAGATCGTTACGTTTATATATGGCATGTGTGAGAGATAGATACGTTTATATATGATGTATGTGTGAGAGAGATATGTTTATATGTGACGTGTGTGAGAGACAGATACGTTTAAATATGATGCATGTGTGAGAGATATATGTTTATGTGTGATGTATGTGTGAGATAGATATGTTTATATATGACGTGTGTGAGAGATTGATACGTTTATATATGGCGTGTATGAGAGAAATATACGTTTATATATCACATGTGTGGGTATACATATTCATTGGTAGTACGATGTCACTCAATGTGTATGTGTGGCCGACGTGTGCACCGCTACACTCGGCCAATGAACTAACTATATCTATACATGAGTCATGCATGAGTCATGCGTATCAGACATTTGTCCTTAATATTAAACACGGTGCATCACATGCCCACAACGAAGCTACACTTGTGCTCATAGATT